GATAATAAGGGTGAATGTAATAACCACATTGTTTTTCTTGTGAAACCTTTGAAAGAGTGTATATCAATGATACCTTAATAAAAAAAAAGATGAAAAAATTCCTCCCCCCAAAAAAATTTCTGCTCAGCAAAATGAAAGCCATTCATCAACATTTCATCAACCATGAATTTCACCGACAAAATGAAAGGCAATCTACAGAACAGGAGAAATTATTTCCAAATCAACACTGATAAGGGCTTTGTATCAAAAATACACAGGAACACAAACAACTCAATAGCAAATATACAGACACACACACACAATCCAGTTTTAAGATGAGCAAAAACTTAAGTAATTTTTGCAAAGAACACATACAAATAGCCAACAGGAAAAAGGTGTTCAACATCATTAATCATGAGGGAATGTAAGTCAAAACCACAATAAGTTATCATCTCACACCTGTTAGGATGCCTACTAAGATTAAAGACAAAACATAACAAATGCTGGTGAAGATTAGCAGAAAGGGAAAGCTTGTATACTATTAATAGAAATATCAGTTAGTACAACCACTATGGAAAACAATGTAGAGATTCCTCTTGAAACTAAAAATGGAACTACCACATCATCCAGCATTCCCACTTCTTGGTAGATATCCAAAGGAAACGAAGTAATCTGACGGAGATATCTATACTCACATGTTCTTAGAAGCATTATTCACAACAGTCAAATGATGGATACAAGTGCCCATCAATGGATGAATGGATAAAGAACACACATACATACACACACACACACACACACACACACACACATGACTATTATTAATTCTTTAAAAAGGAAATATTGTCAGTTCTGACAGCATGGGTGTACCTTGGAGGACATTATACCGGTATAAGCCAGATAAAAAGATCAATCAAATACTGCATGGTATCATTTGTATATGACATCTAAAAAGAAAAAAAATCAAAGTCAAACTCACAGAAACAGAGAATAGAAAGTGATTGCCAGGGGCAATGAGGTATAGGAAATAGGGAGGGGTTGGAAAAATGGTACAAACTTTCAGTTATAAGATGAAGAAGGACTGAGGAGTTAATGTATAACATGGGGACTATAATTGGTAGCACTATACTATGCAACTGAAATTTTCTTAGAACTTAAATGTTCTCACAAGAAAAATGTAAATATATGAGATGACGTGTTTTAATTAACTGAACCAGAGCACTTCTTTCACAGTGTATACATGCATCAAATTATCTTTAAATATTATTTTATATACCTTACAATTTTATATCATACTTTAAATATTTTACAATTTTATTTGTCAATTACACTTCAATAATGCTGGGGAAAATCTTAAGGAATATAGATTTCTTAAGCAGTATCAAACAAAAGTAGTAGTAATTGGCACAACAATGAAGCCCTTATATTTCCATAGGCAACAGAGTTTAGTTCAGTTAAGCTCATTTCCCTTGCATCCCAATAACTCTGACCCAGACTGTTATCAGTGGTGGTCTTGCCCCTTTTCAGCAAAAAGTCAAAAGGGTCAGCAAACTGGATGCCATAGCAAAGTGACAATTATGTAACATTCACATGGAACAAAGAAGGCCCCAGAGAGTGTGATCCTTTTCTAATTTCCCAAATTCAGACATTTTTATGGAAAATACCAATTATTTACTTTTAAAAAATACAGTTCCTGACTTGTGGTGGTTTATATTACAGTTTTCTGACTTTACAATAGTGTGAAAGCAATACACATTTAGTAAAAGTGATACTTCGAATTTTGAATTTTTATCTTTTTCCAGGCTAGCAATGAGGTAAAGTACACTTGCTCCAGCAGCCAAAAGCAGGCCACGGCTTCCAGTTTGCCCCGTGTCATAAGGACAAACAACTGATACACTGACAACATCCTGTAGCCATATAAACATTTTGTTTTTCACGTTCAGTACAGTATTCAATGAACTATGTGAGATATTTAGCATTTCATCATAAAACAGACTTTGTGTTAGATGATTTTTACCTAACTATAGGCTAATCTAAATGTTCTGAGTACGTTTAAGATAGGCCACGCTAAGCTATAATTTTCGGTAGCTTAGCTGTATTAAATACATTTTCTACTTGTAATATTTTCAGTATACAAAGGGTTTATCAGGATGTAACCCCATCATAAGTTGAGCAAGAACTCTAAACTATTTACATTTTCTACATCACTGAAAAAATTCACTAAAGTTTATGTTCTTCTCTTTCAACACTGTCGAACATGAGATTCCCAAAGTACTCAAATAACATCACATCTATTTGAATGGCAGGATCACTCCTTTTTTGTTATGTTCTCTTAATATTGTGACCTCTCACTCATTCCTTTACACATTTATTTAACATGCTTTAATGAAGATTTTACTTTCTGACATTGCAGCATAAGACAAAATAATAGAAAGACAAAATCCCTGTCAATAGGAGCTCATTATATATATATTTTGGGAAAAGGAGACTTAGAAGAAGACAAAGTGAATCAAAATTGGTATGCATATTGATAAAGATATAAATATAACATTAAAGAGCTTGAAGTGGACAAAGAAACAAAGCAAACAGGATTCAAGCCATGCAGCTATTTACATTAAGGCATTTTAACTGATCCTGAGACACTGCACATCTGAGGGCCATCCAACAATTTACCATTTTACAGTGGATGCATTCAGATGCTCTCTCCAAGCCAGAACTTTCTTCTCCAAGAGAAGGGGAAGAGAAGGTGGTGTGGGTGGGAACCCCCATAGTACCATGAACTAGGATGACCGTGCGCTAACTAGACAATGCAGCAGTGCTTTGCTTGAATCTATCACCACTCCAAATTGAACTAACATAAGTACTTTTTCTAAAGGTAATAAAGTCTTACACGTACTCAGAACAGCTGACTAAAAGCCAGAAGGAAAGCAAAACGAGGAGGTTCATCTACTATTCGCCTGAATGTTTCAATATCCTAGAAATCAACACCTTCTGACAACTTGGCAAGCTGTCTGCTGACAGGCCTTTCTTCACCTTCTCACGGTCTACGTAAAGGTTAGCAGTCTCACTCTTCTGGACTTTCTGAACCTAAGAATAATCTAAAAGGCACAATTGCCTTTTTTCCCCTATTGTCTCTCTGCCTCTTATTTAGAACACCTACTCCCTCATCTATCATTACTGAGCAGATATTTCTTCAGCATTCTTTGAATTCCAGTACTAATTAGGTGAACTGAGTTCACACAGATGAATAGAATATCACACTTTTGGGAAACACTCACCATACTCAGCATGGTAGGATGGAATACGGATACACAAAGGAAGGATTTTAGAAGTCAGAAAGTTCAACAACAGCAACAGACAGTACTATGGGGACACTGAATGGTCTCACTCAAGTCATCCACACAGACTGTAATATATTGTTCCTTCTCATGACTGAGAACCATTAGTGAGTATATTGGACAATTTAATGTGTTATCATTGACCTATCGACAGTCTCAACAAATTCTCTCCTTCAAGGCAATTTTAAAAGTAGAGTAGATAATACAGAGAAAATGAGTGTTTTCTAGGGACAAACTGCACATAAAAGGAGCAATGCAACCAAATATATTGATTCTATTGAGAGGGATAAGTCTACACATCTTCCTCTTTAGATTGTTCCTGTTTGAGACAACACTGTAGGGGAAAAGGACACTAATGGTACATGCCGTATAAGTAGAAAGAAAACAAGGGTTGCATTCTACTTCTCCACAAGTATCGATGGGACTTTGTAACTCAACTCATAATGTTTATGACAGAATGTCTAATATAACAGATGATCAACTCCCAGTACTAAAATCTATGTTTACACATTCCAACTCAGGATAGTCTACAAAACCTGTATGATTTCCTCAGTCATGGCTGTAACACTCCTAAAAAAATATCCTCAAAAAGCTGCTCCCACACTTGGTCTCTATAAACTTTTACTTTTCTTGCCTTTTAAGTGACTAATTCATCAAAATCTCACTCATCCACACATTAAATAACCACCATAGTCAACACAGTTACAATATTATGTATCTGCTACATGCTAGGCTCTGTAAGGTAATGGGAAGTTAAGTATAAATAGGAAAATATCCCTGTCAAAGGAGCTCATTTTTCTAGTCTGTTAAACAGACACAAAAGTAAAACAAAATTTGGCAACTGAATTGGTAGACTTAAAGCAAGTGAGAAATTAAACGGTGGCATTTAGACAGGCTAGACCAAAAATGCCCACTCATTTCTAAATCATTAGTTGGGGAAGAAAGTGTATGATAAAATTTTGTAACTATTCTATACTCAAGTGGAAATTATCTTCCACAGTCATGCCTTCTTTGACTTCAGTGATATTTTTGACATTTACTGTTCTCTAGAACTGGTATCTAAAATGTAGGTGAAGAACACTTGGGCCTTGCCCTTACAGCTCTTTCCTTCAAAACTCTACGTTCTGTACATTGTCTTTCTCCACTCCCTTGATTCCTAGGGCCATCCTTTCTTTACTCCTTTTTCACTTCTTTATTAGGTTGTCACTTTTTCTTTCACTTGGTTCCTCACCCATTCTTTTCTCTTGCTCATCATTTCTCAATGCCAAGATGTCTGGAACTATTGAGCAATTTTACCTTAATGAGATAGTCTACTGTGGCCAATGCATGCAATAGCATAGAGACAAACTCAAGTGAGAACACAGGAAAAAAATCACATTCATGTTATTTTTGGAAAACTGAGGAGTTGAAATGAAGACAGCCAGTTCTGTCCTATATGCATGTAATGTGAAATACTGAAGACTACCTCAAATTGTACAACTGAGATGCATCTTCATTTTATAGGATTCATTTAAGCAATTCACAAGGTATCACCATGTAACTGCGCCAGGCTGACACTGGTAACGTCATTACAGGACCAACTGTCATCTTAGGAGGATTCTTTGCCTTGGCCTAGCCAATAATAAAGTACAACCTACCCTCCCTTTCCATACAGCACTTTTACTTAAATTCAATGATATTTTCTTTCTTTACTTCCAAACTTAATTGTTGTGCCTTTCAATGCCATATGAAAGCTACCTGTTACCCCTTTCTTTTTCGAAACTCATTCTTCATTTCCCCTCTGGGATAATACAACCCTTTAGTTTTCACTAACTGAATCTATCCATCATTAACAGTCTCCTTTGATGGATCCTCCTCATTTACTCAATATCTGAATGATAGATCCAAGATCTTATATATTCCATCTCTAGGTCTCATCCTTTCCAGTGGCCATAAGTAACAAACCTTCATTGGTTAATCCCCAGTAATATCTCAAGCCCCAACATCCCCCTACACCCCAGAGTCCTACCTCTTCCTCAAAAATCAACATCTTAACCCATGGTTTTAATATGAATATAAAGCTGCCAAACAGATCTCTTTCTTATACAGTCTGAGAAACCCAACCTTCCCTAGCACAGAAATGGTATCATCATCTACTCAGTTATTTAGGCCCTGATCATAATTGTCCATTTGAATTCTCTCCTCATCTCACCATTTAATATTTGATTAAGTAGGACTGACTACTTTTAAAATAAGTCCTAAATCCCAGTATTTCTCAACACTTTCATGTCAACCCATCTACTAAATACAATCTAGTAAACCCATCTAGTAAACATTTGACTGTTGAAATAACAATGTAACTTGCCTTCTCACTTCTTCTAACTTACCAGTATTTTGTCCACAGTGATCTTTACCTAATTTCTTTGAATATATAGAAAACTTTACTACCATAGAAATCAACTTTTGGAAATTCTGGAAAACAAAGCAATTGGCATGTTAATTATGAATACAACACAGCCGTTGAACAGGGCAACAATTCTTGCCCCAAGCACTGAGGACACTCTACCTTGGAAAATCCTGAATGAGAAATTATGGGAAGGAAGACATTTTTAGAGTCTATTATTCTTTAAGATATATGTCAATTGTAGAATTTAATTATCTTGTAGAAAAATCAAAATATGACATGATTATTATAGAAACCTAAATAATGAAGTAGGTAGAACTGTGTAGAAAAGAATAATTAAAACTGTGAAATAAATATGGATAGTATTTTTTACCATTTGTATAGTTTTGCCTTAGGATTAATGTCCTGTTACTAGTTAAACCAATTACCAGAAAAGCTACAGGCCTGGCTGGATTTTGTGCAAACGATTTATCAGAGACTAGTGAATCTCCAAAGATACAGGGAGAAATAACATCACAGTCTTCTCCACAAGTTTTCCTTGGTCTGCCTCACTGTGCTCCCACTGGCAGGAAGAGGCTCCCCTATGACTGGAGATTTTCCACAGTAATTACTGGGCTTCTAATGGGAAGTCACTGTGTTCTGTGTTCATCCGTATGTCTACTCTCCTTTACATCCTCATTTCAACTTCATACTACTTGAAAGTGCCTTTCTTCACGAAAAAGACTCAGCCATGTTGCCCCCCTGCCCTCTTTTCCAGGGTAAGGACACACGGATTCCATTTATATTTGAAATTAGAGAGGCTGTATTTCTTCCTGTGTCAAAAAGTGTTTGGCAGCACAATTTCTATTACCATCTTAGAGAATAAATAGTAGCATGGTTTCCTGTTGTGATTTCCTATGTATTTTTTTTAACTCCCTTTATTCTTGGAAATTATAAAGGTGTGCCAGATTGAGGCTGGATTTATGAATCTGGTAATAAAACTGTCTTAGTAATATCAACACCAAAACAGTAATCTGGTATTTTTGTGGCCTCATGGAAGAGAGGAAGATGTGTTTTAGCCAGGCAGTTTTCAAATTTTCCAAGATACGCTTTAGTATTACATAGAAATCAACATTATTTACATGAAAATGGCAACAGACCTCCCTTGGTCCCTTAATGCCTTCTTCAATCATTCCCTTTCCCCAAATGACAAGTTTATTCACTGCACATTCATTTAGATGGTATTTCATTACAATCAGTAACTTTGGCACTCCTGTTTTCTTCTACTTGGATTTAATGACAATATTTACTAAGCCTTCCATTAAAGACTAAGCACAAAGTTAGATACAGGGAATATTCAGATCACCATTTGAACCAAAAACTTAAGTCATGTCTACTCCTCTGTAAATACGCTGCATTGATTTACAATTCATAAACTGGTATGACATGTCTATTCATAACAGGTGACCTGAACCTGAGCAACAAGCCAGATTTTAAAACTCCTCATACTCGGGATGATTAAGAATATTCTATCAGTTAAAGTCACTTTCCAAAATTTAAATACCTGTATTTGGGAAACCTTATTTAACTAGCATACAAGGAGGAGTTACAATTAGTAGACTGCTTATAGTTTCCTGATTAGAGAGAACATGGAACAGAACTGAGAGTTGTATAGGTTTTAGAAACATAACCACTGCAGCAGGTCTGCATCTGCTACACAGACGTCTCCACGGAGGGCCTGCTGCAGGGACGGTGAAAGGAGAGACACGAATAAAAGCTGAGGAGGCTGAGTTCATCTTTGATAGCACATCAAGTACAGTTCCTTCACTGTCAACCTCAGACACTCCAAAAGGTTATGGAACCTTACCAGAGCAATGACAAAAGAATGCTAAGGAGGAACACCAGTGATTTACCATCTACATAGAATTTCAGACGCATCTAACAGTGCAGTCCTCTGCCATGCCTTACAGTCAGCTCAAGAGAATTACGGAACACCTTGCCAATTATGGCATCATTACGTCCCTGGCTGGAACTTATTACCTTTAAAAACAGACTCATCTCCCTTGCTAAGCATATGTATTTCATCAACCACCCTTAAAGAGCTCAGTGTACCACTTGCATTTCTTTCCACAGTTAGATATTAAGCTCTTTAGATAACCCCTTTCCTGCTTTGTTCTGTGGATCACATCTCATTCTCTCACTCAGTATTTTCAGTTATAAAATTATTTGTTGAACATTTCTCACAAGCCATGATACACAACTTCTCTGAGCAGAATAATCAATATGCATAAATGGTAACAGATATTTTTTTAAATTACCATTGGTTCTACTAAGAATTACCTGTAACTGCTAAAGCGATGGTGCAAAAGTTTGATGATAGGACATTTACTTAGTTTTAAATGATCTTCCCACAGAATATTCATTATAAAGGACTGTTAACTTTAAAGTGGAGAAACCTAGTGGATACTAATTGAACCAAGTGATCAAAATTAATGTTACAGACAACAGGACAAAATAACATCATTTGCCACCTGATATGAATGAATCACTGAGGCAGACACACATCAGTTATGAAGTATTCCTGCCAAAAATGCATAACCTAAAATAATTCATAAGGAATATCAAAAAATCCAAAATTTGAGGGATTCTTTTACAAAAGACTAGCCACTAATTTTCAAGAACACCAAAGCTATCAAAGACAAAAAAACAATGAGAAACTGTTACAGATTAATTAAGACTAAAGAAACATATCACCTGAATGCAATACAGGATCCTTTTTTGGGTCCTGAATAAAGGGATAAATTGCCATAAAGAACATTGTTTGGACAACTGGAGAAATCTACAGACTGTATATTAATGTAATCTATTTGTTCTACTGATAAATTTGATGATTTTAAAACTTTACCTAGGTTAATGTTAAGAGGAATATTCAGGCTCTTAGAAAGTGAATGCTGAAAAATATTTTGGGTTAAAGAGAGAGTATCTGCAATTTACTCAGAAATAGTTCATACAATACCAATGTGGAGGAGAGATGGAGAGGAACAAAGAGGGAGGGAAGGATGAGGAAGAAAGGGAGAGAAAATGAGAAAGATAACACAAAAATGTGGGGGGAAATCTGGGTGAAGAGAACATAGGGGTTCACTATATGATTCTGGCAATTCTAAAATTGTTTCAGCTGTTTCCCTGCAGCAGCCACTTATTACTGGAGGAAAAAAGTACCAGAAATCCTTCCAGATTATTCAAAAAGGAAATAATAGGGTAATACTCGACATGGAAAGGGCTTGTGAAGAAAACAGCCCTTTGGAAGAGCAGACGGAGAGGCAGAAGGAAATCCTCCACCTTGCAAAGTAGATGCAAGCCAGGAGGCAGAAGGAAAACGTACAGGCGGGCTGACTCAGCCTGAGCATGCGCTTGAGGGCAGGACACGCCTCTAGGGGTTGGACCCTGAAGGGACAATAGGAGGTGATGAGTTGGAAAAGCTTAAAGAGAGAAGAGTAAGAAACGAGTTTGTCATGATGCCCTGGAAGCAGCTGCCCCTATCCTGTGTGTTCCAAGTCTGGAATTCTTTCTTTGATATTAAAATCTGGCCCCTGATATCTTTCTGCTAGAATAAATAAGTAAATAAATAGAAAAAGAAAAAAAAAACACTGTAAGTTATGCCTAGGAAGTTTATGAACCTCCAAGAAGCACTACATTTAGAAAAGGTCAATATTTCTACCTGTGACTCCCAAGATGACTCCTGTGGTTAGAGGGAATGTGGGCTATGCACTTTTAAAAATAAATAACCCATTATTATTTGGTCTTTTGTATTCATGGCCATTACTATTTTCATTAGACTTAAGTTGTAAATATTATTTTCACCTATAAGATTGGCTAAAAATTTAAAGGATTGATAATATCCATCACGTACAAGTTTCAGTGAAAATCAGCACTGCCATTATTCCACAGCTATGTGCTGGCCTGGGAAGTACTTCAAGGCCAATTTCACAATATCTACTAAAATTAGAAGTATGCATAATTGATGATCCAACACCATACCTAGAAATCCAATCAAATTAGGAATCCAAGTGCATTAATATAGACATATACACACATAACAAAGCGATATGAGCAGTAAAAATAGCTAACCTACACTTCCCAAAATGGAGAAACAGATAAATCCATTACAATACGTATCAAAAGTCACCATAGGTAAGCTGTATTTATTGGTTTAGAAATATGTCCACAATATATTACAAAAAAATTAAGTTTCTAAACAACATATACCACAATGATGGCATATTTGTAAAATAAATGCCACATCAACTTATAGAAGCTTGGAAAATTTGTTGACCACTATACCACAAATGGTTAACTCTGTCTCCCCTAGAAAGCAGGCATGGAAGATGGAGGATAAATTAACCACAGTTTGATTTAAATTGTTTAATAACCCATTCAGTCTTGCTGGTCCCATTTCATTGTACTAGTAGTCAAGGCTGTCTATTGAGACAGGTTAGGCAATGCAGTTAGTAGTTCCACGATGACAATGTAATTTACGTTGGATGTAGACAATTAAACCTCCAATAAACACAGCCATCTATGTCAACCCACTTAGGATAAACAGAAAACAAATGAAAATAATATAAATAAAAGTGAAGTCTCTTTGGTACCTTAAGTTTCTTGCTCCAATCCCAAAGAAAATTCTGGTGCTACCAAGAAAATGATGGAACATGTGTCCTACAAGATGGTTCAGAATGTCAGTGCAAAGCCCTCTCTCCCTTACACAACCACAGGAGGGACGGCATTCAAGCATTGGAGAAGAGGTCAGCTACAGCCAGGCCCAGGTCGTGTACTAGAATGAGACCTAACTAGGTTCAATAAAAAGGATAATGTACAGATGTACAGATGTTCTATTACAGTTGACACGAATGTTTTAAGAAAATCTTGTTAGGGAACCTCTCTAAAAACTGCGGGCTCATAATTCAAATGAGCAACAAGTGTCTTACAAACGGTACCAAAACGGGTATATGGGGGAGGCACTCAGCTTGTGAGACAAGCTGTTTATCACTTAGGGCATGATAAGGTGTCCATGGGGTTGCATTAATTACTTTTACTATCTACAAATCTCCTATTTTTAAGTATAACATGGGTATAAAAAGGCAATGTGGTAAATACAACAATAAAAGAAAGCACAAGATATATTCAGAGCATGGAGAAATATTTAACAACATTCCAGGCAATCACTTGCCAAAAAGCAGGTCACTTCTATTCTTGGGAGTACATATATAAAATTGTGCCCTTTGAGATACAAAAGATGCAAGAAGCTTCCAGAAAGGGGAAGTAATGACAGCATTTGAGTAATGCTATGGTTGGAACCACTGCAGAATATATCTATGATCCTCTTGTCCACATATTCGCCACCTGGGAGAGTACAGAGGGAGAGATTGCAAATGAAAATAAACAGGTTATCACACAGCCATGGCTTGCGACAGGTGGTATCATCTTCAAGTATTTTACTGGTACTCCATGGTAAACAAATCCTATGATTCTGATAGATCATCAAGCTACAAAAACCAGGTACCCTTACTGTAGGAAAATGGTGAAACCACAATTTTACTTCTTTGGCCCATTTACTATGATTTGAGTACCCATCTTCTATTCCAAATTATTTCCATGCCATTTAATCTCAGCTTGTGAAAAGCCTATTTTGTGAGAAAACTGCCATTCCCTGTGTAACTTCTCAGTGCTAATATATATGCCAGTTCAGGGTTTTAGAAATAAATAAAAAGACAATGGTACAAGGAAATACTAATAATGTTCTTACTAAATTCTGTAGTATTTCATTGAATTCTTTCCCAATTCCAAAACACATTATCACAACATTCATATTCTCCTTGCTTTCCCGGATGCTTCTTGTGCAACTTATTATGGTCTTACCTGGAAGAAAACTTCTTATATTTCAACTTGTGACTTCATTAAGTATTTTTTATTGTTGTTATTGTTGTTATTTTTTAGTAACAAGAGAATTCTAAAATCTTGGGTTAAACTATAACCTCAAAATAATCACAGGCCACATAATAGGTTTGATGAAAAAGAAATGTAGTGTCACACAATTCAGAAAATAATCTAATCTATCATCTATAGCCAAAAGGATCTCTTAAAAACCAGGATACAGGCTTTAAGGCTCTTACCTGCAGTCAAAATCTCTTTAGTCCTTGATTACGAAAGATGCTTGTGAAAGAAAGAAAAAAGGAATGCTTGAAGATATTTGAAAAATCTTCATTCATTCATTAATCAAATGAAAGGGTATTAAGAACCTAATTCCACCATGCTAATATTGGAATATTTTTCAACTTCTGTCTATCCAGCACTTTACCTAGCCAATGATAATATTAGCAATACCCACAATTAGGCATATGGAAATCATATCCAACCTCCTCCTGTTATTAAGACCCATATATTATCTGCAGCAAATTCTACTTCCAAATGGCTTTGTTTTCTGGTGTTTTCAAAACCCTTTCACTTTTTCCCCCACCTAACTTCCTTGTCTCCCTCTATCCACCTTTAATGTATTTTTTCTGAACATTTAATATTTAAATGAATTTAAAGTACACTGAGTGCACAGAGACTATAGTCTTTATCTAGATAACATTATTTTCCATGATGAGTAGGTAACAGTAAACCAAAATCTATATATATATATATAGTGTATATATTAACACTACATCAAAATTAAAGAGCATATTTACCTCTTCTGCATTTAATTGGCAATTACTCTATAATTATGTGATTCATCTATGGTTTTGGACTTTAAAATATAGACAAATCGGATTCCACATGAAATTAGTCAAGAAATAAACAAACAGTACACCAGTATTACTGATTCTTACCAGTAATTTTGAAGAATGAAGTCCACAGAAATTATAAACAAGTACAAGAATTTGGATTGTAATAGAAATGTCAGGTAGTGAAGCATCTAAAAGGTCTCACTTCTTAAACTGGTAACAACTCAGTTAAAACTGTGGAAAATATGGGAAAATTGTGATACATACCATGACCAACATAAAATACAAAAGGTAAAAATGTTGACTCTTTGAAAAACCTAAAGTCCCCAAATTATTAAAACGTAAAAACCCATTATTAGAGAAAACTACTCTTGTAAACTCAGTACAATTTGGTTTTTATTTTCTTAGTGCCACAATGTTTTGAGAATCTAATTGCTAAAATTTCCTAATTTTATAAATAACAAATTATCCTAAATATCCCTCAATAGTCCTTCCAATATTTTTATTCAACTCATTTTGATTTTGTATCAGCCTATTTCCCCATTGATGAAATTTCTGCACCATCCTTCTAGAATCAATCCATGTTATCAATCTCTCTATCAAGCCACCCTGAAACCATCAATGATGCTGTCAAACACAGAATTTACCTATGCACTGATCCCTACATTAATTCATTATTCTAGCCAGCCATAATTGTACCTATCAATCTAAATACCCACGTACCCATACACGATCCATGCATTCAACATCCCATTATGCAGTCCATTAACACTGACATCTAGGTATTTAACCATCTATACCTTCAATGAATACTGAATATCAATCCACACATACCTCCATTTTAAAAACACTCATTAATTCTTGCATTCAGCCATCCATTCACATACTTACATTCAGCTAATTTTGCCTTAATTCACCCAGTATGAACCCTAATTTCCACAAAGCAGTATTGTTGCATACATCTTTCCAGATTTCTCATATATTCAATCTTGCATTCCTTAATCCACCAATTCTTAAATCCACATAAGCTTACATTATTGTGTAAAAAATTTCATTCACCATTCTCCCATTCTTCCTTCCATCCATCCACTCCTACAACTGTTTTTAGGCCATCAATCCAACCCTCCATTCTATGCATTCATCCACCATTCCTTGAAATTTTGCATGCAATTTATCCATTTATATTAGTCAGTTTAAAGTCACAGCGACTTAAGAACCTCACTGGCTTAACCCATTTACTTCTTACTCATGAAGAGACCTCTGTGGGTCTCATCCAATCACTCTCCAGTGTAGCTTTGCTCCATAGGACAGCGGATTATTCCAACTGTTCTTCTGTGGCACCTCTGCTTCCACACATAGTTCAATGATCAGAAGAAATTAAGAATCACATACAGGCTACTAAGTCTTCTGCCCATGGCATGTTAGGCATTCTACAGTTTTGAGTGGGTTGTGCTGCCCAAGGAACTGAGTATCTGTACCACTTTAAATTATCTTTAGGTCCCAACTCTTTCTGAATTGAGTGCTCTGTAGCTCCCCTGGAGAATGTATCTCACAATGCTTATGTTAAGAATAATTAAGCGGAATAATAGAATTGAACAATGCATGAGAGGGCCAAGCTAGGGCCAGGAAGAACAAGGACAAGTGAGCATCTCCCAGGGCCTAATAAAACATTCACCATCCCCAATATAGTGCTCACAATGTCTCCTCAGGGGGATTTTTAGATTTCTATGAAATGATAATTACTATGTATCTTATATTCCACACCTTACATTTTATAGTTTTCATCATAATTGCCTTGTCCTTGGTCCATAATTGTGTACTTGGAAGTGGGGTGCAAGATAACTTTAAGTTCATATATTTCTGGGCCAAGAGGAGGCTCATGGAGACCTGGTGAACAGATCACTACTCATCACCTCGCTAATGATCCCAGGGCAGAACTGAAAGGTAGCTGACTGAGGCTTTTCTTTGCTCCCACTGAGGAAGGGGCAAAGTTTACTATGCACGTAGAAAGAATATTCAGTATTTGAAACCAGAGATATGTGCTATGGTAAATACTACTATTTTTAGTGTGTCCTTTCCATTCTCCTTTTGAAACCTTGGAAGAAATACACTAAATCCCTAGTTACCAGTGTCCACGTGATTGATTTGTTGTACCCGATTTGATGTCTCACTTCTAAAACAAGTTCACTTGCAATACCGTGCAATTATCCTTGTACTCTCCTCCAGCAACAATTAACCCTAAAACCGTATGCTGCAGTGGAAGTGACGTGATATATTACCGACTTTGTGACATTCAGCCTACCACTGACTGCCAGAAGCACAGGACCCCCAAAAATCCCTGTTGGGTAGTCACCATGAGAAATACATCTTTGTAATTTAAACTCATTGAGATTTAGGAACTAGTCTTCTGTAAATCAATCAATCTATATAGTCTGTCAGGCTTATAGCCATCAATTCATCCACTCTTATGTCACTTTGTTCATTTTACATACCCAATATATCTATGTGCACACATATTTTTATCCATAGGCCCTTCCACTCTCACCAATATATACATTTATACATTCATACATGTATTCTATCTCTACATATTAAATTAGCTATACTTATTAATTCCATCCAGAATGCATTTCTGGATCCATTCATACACCTACCCATCCACCCATCAGTGCACGCATGCAGCCATCCATTCAAGAATCATCTATCTCAATTTCATCCATGTTCCTAAGATGACATAACAGCCATCAGTATAGTCATTTTTGCATCCATTAAATTATTTATCCAATCTGTCATTTATCAAGTCATTCACTGAGGCAATTTTACATTTGTTAGTGAACCACCTGGGTAGGCCAACCTCAGTACAGAGAAGAGTTCAAAATAGTCCTAAATCGTCTGTTTAAATAAACTTATTTTTCACTAATGGCAGTCAGGCCAGCCTGGCCACAGGGCTAATTTCAAATGACCTTTGTAATGTCTGACTTTAACATCTTTATACAGAATCTGTTATCTTTATTATGAATTTACAATACTGATAACATCCTTCAGGAGCTTCCTCAAATCATTCTGGATGAGACAAAAGTAGACAAGAGCTCAGCATTTATTGTGGAAACTGCTATTGCTGTGCTAGAGGGAGCTCCCTTCACTATGCCAAATACAATAATAATAAAAAAAAAGTAAGCTTTACATTTACTTAAATTTCCAAATACCTAATCATTTTTCTAAGACACTGACCAAATCACCAGTCCCTTGAACACCTTCATAAATTGAAATTCATCCCTTCCTTTCATTTCTTATTCCATAAAAATTCACAGTCATTCCACAGCTAATTCTCTCATCCAATATCCTACTTGAGAAAACTCTGTTGAAAGCTCTGTACTGTTTCAGCTCCACCCATGACAGCAGAAACAAAGAGTTATAGTTATGGTGATAAAAATACTAAAACAGCACTTTGCTATCATCATATCCTGAATCCCGACTTACTGTAACTTGTACCTCAAAAATTATTCCATAGTAACATATATTCACCAAATCCTTGACTGGACTAAATACTACAAGAGGTATTATGTATTTGCCACAATTAATTAAATTCACTAGATACTTAATTCCTATCCATTAAGGTTTAACATTTTATACTCCCATGTGTTTTGCTCAGCTTCTGAAAGACAAATAATCCATATATCTGGATTTACTGCTAATCTGATAGTTGAGCAGTTCATTATATCTTGGTTGTATTTTCAATTGCAGTTTTTATTATAAGCAAATTCAATGATCCTTTAATATAAGAACAATTTATATTTCTCCTGTGAACCCTTTGCTCAAATCACTTTTCCTTAGGTTTACTGGTAATTTTCCTGTTTACGGATCTCTTTCAGAATTTCAACCTTCTTGATATTACAGATACATTTTCCCAATTGTCATGTGGTATTTACCTTGCCAATTAATTTATTTTAACATCAAATTTATCACTTTAGTTTCTTGATTCTGGAATACAGGAAACAAAATATTCTTCACTCTCAGATTAAAGAGAAATTCAGTGTTCTGTAATTCTGTAATTTCTTTAGTTTTAATTTAAACCTCTGACTACTTAAAATTCTTCCTGCTGCATACCATGAGGAATGGATCAAATTTCCTTTCTCCATTTGGTTAATAATTTCCCCCAGTGATTGCTTATAAGTTTGCTGCATTTATTATTTCTCATGCAAGTGTCCCCTTCTATTACATTATTCTGTGTATGTATATGCCAATAAAATGCTAACTACATCACTAGCTAACTAATCTTCCATTCCTACACTGTACAATGGTTTCTTAACCTTACATATTTACTCAATCATAATCAAAATATCTATAACAAAATTTTTAAAAATGTTTTACAAGTTCTCTGATTCAGAAAGACATATACACCCCTTTGTTTATGGAAGCACTATTTACAACAGCCAAGATATGGAAGCAACCTAAGTGTCTATCAGTAGATGAATGCATAAAGAAGATGTGGTACATACACACAATGGAATATTATTCAGCCATAAGAAAGAAACAAAACCCTACCATTTGCAACATCATGGATGGAGCTAGAGGGTATTATGCTCAGTGAAGTCAGGCAGAGAAAGACAAATACCAAATGATTTCCCTCGTTTGTGGAGTATAATGTCAAAGCAAAACTGAAGGAAAAAAAATAACAGCAGACACAGGCTCCAAGGGACTAGCATTTACGAAAGGAGAGGAGTGGGGGAGGGAGGGAAAAGGGGATTGAGGGGTATTTTGATTAGAACACATGGTTTTGCAGGATCATGAAGACAGTGGAGCACAGAGAGGATGGGTAGTGACTGTGGTATCTTGGTACACTGATGGACAGTGACTGCAATGGGGTATGGGCGGGGGGACTCGACGTGGGTGAATGTAGTGACCACATTGTTTTTTGTGTGAAACCTTCATAAGAGTGTATGTCCATGACACCTTGTTTTAAATTGACTCATAAATGACTTCATGATGAATCTAAAGTGAAGATAAATTTAGATGGTGCCCATTATGACTGCTAATTTTAAGATATAAGCTATGAAAAATATTATGTATGCAGTGACAGACATGAAGCAGATACATAAAGAACAAGACTCTTCTGTGACATATGTATTGCACATGTAAATATATGAGCACACCTAGGGGAACTAGATAGTCTGGTGTTTTGACCACATTCTCGTAAACATAATGTCATCCTTAGCTCAGAAAAGTCTTTTATT